TGTTGGGATTGTGAAGGATGGAGTAAACAGACTGAACAACACAGCCAACTCATATTTGACCTGTCTGTTGTGTAGCTGGAATATAGCAAGTTCAGGGACCCTGAAGTATTGATAATGGTTTACAATTCTGTTAATTGCTTACAGCGGAAAACTATTTTTTTTTGGTTTGTTTGTTTTTTTTGCTTTCAGGTACCTTCTACCTAGACGTATTGTGAATGTGAAGATATTTTAAACATGTTCTCTTTCATTTCATAACTATCTAATAAATTATCTGGCATACTCATAAATCCCTTCATTATTTTCCTACATCTATAACCCTTGCAAGCTATTTCACTGTAGATGTAGATGAGACTCTCAAAAAGATTAATTTTAATTTACTTTTAGTCTCTCCTTGCTGTGTTCAAGGTAATGCAGTACTTGAAAATATTACATTATTAGAGGCATTCTTTGTTCCTGAAGAAGGTCAGACCATAAACAACTCTGACCTCTCTCCAAATGATTGCCTTGCTCCAAACAGGAAGGAAAAATGAGACTGTGTGTTTATGTCTTGGCAATTGTTGTAGGCCTCTTTAAAGAACGGAGACATACCACAGATAGTAACAGGAAGATGATTGAACAGTTTAAATACTTAAATATGGTAGTGGAAGGATTTATAATAGCCTCTATTTCTTCGATGCATCTACTTGCTACTGACACATACCACGAAAACTAACAAATGGGTAGCAGGTAGTTAAAATTATGTCTCGGCTAAGAGGGAGACAAATTTATTTTCAGCAATGCATCTTTTTGTGGAGTTTTTTTTTTTTTTTTTTTTTGAAAATGGGAAAGATAATGTTGACCTCATCTCAATTGGCTTCAAGACATTACCTAGTACTGACTGACTACAGAAAGTAAGGCTAACATCAGGCTCCCTAAACACTGTTTAAGAGTTAAGGCAGGGGTGTCAAACTGCTGGCCCATGGGCCGGTTTCATCATATCGGAGCTGCACCCACCTCATTGCCGGCAATGGCGAAAAAGCTCTGATACGTCGCACGACGTCACGTGACGTTGTGAGTTTGACATGCCTGAGTTAAGGTATGCTCCCATCAGCTGGATGTTCAAAGTGATTACAGTGAGAAAATCTGAATACCTATTAGTATATACAGGGGGCCTTACCTTCTGCAGATATTATGGAATTGACTTCAAGGGAGAGGAATTATCTGAAAATTGGAAGAAAGTAGGAATACCTTAGATCTAGTTCTGGACAACAAACATCTTGAGTCAGCAGTCTCAATGGCTGAATAGCTATTTATGTCACTAACAACATGAGGCAGGTGATTTGAAATCTTTAGATCTAGAATACATTTTTCTCTGGGTTAATTGCAATATTCTAAGATGTTTAAAATAATTGAAAAAAAAACCAAGCTCATTGTTAGATCCAATGAGGAGTACATGAGACTTGCCCCATCGAATAACCTAATTATTTATTTGTTGGTTTGTTTAATTCAGTTTATGTGGCTGTACATCTCACAAAGCAAATCCAATTTACCAATTTTATTTTATTAATACATATTATTATAGAACATTCATATTTTTCAGTAATATAGAAGATATCATCAACATATAATAATGGTAAATATTCAATGTCAGAATACTTTATACCATTCTGTAACTATTCTTTATTGAGGGCTTAATGGGAATTAATTTTCAGTTTTGGAGATGAGCTTTAGGTAATTCTGATGCGTATTATTTTGCATAGGTACTCAAAAGCTGCAAATTATCTTCCAAATGTTTTAAATCTTTATTTTTCATATGCAAATAATATGCTTTTGAACAATCCCATATAACCAGGAGCTTTTTGATTTGTATGTGTTTACAAATCAAGACTATGAAGCAGTTGACGTGATGTGCCGGTGCCTGGAAGATGTGAGGGTCTGGATAGGGGTGAACAGGCTTAGACTCAACCCTGACAAGACCGAGTGGCTCTGGGTCTTGCCCCCCAAGGGTCATCCTGATGGTCCATCATTAGTCCTTGGGGGGGGGTAAATTTACCTCCCTCAGTGCAGGCACGCAACTTGGGTGTCCTCCTGGACTCACAGCTAAATTTGGAACAACATCTATCGGCTGTGGCCAGGGGGACCTTTGCCCAGGTTCGCCTGGTGCACCAGTTGCGGCCTTATTTGGACCGGGAGGCTCTACTCACGGTCACTCATGCCCTTGTCACCTCAAGACTGGATTACTGTAATGCGCTCTACATGGGGCTACCCTTGAAGAGCGTTCGGAGGCTGCAGTTGGTTCAGAATGCAGCCGTGAGAGTGATTATGGGTGCACCAAGGTACACCCACGTGTCGCCTATCCTCTGCGAGCTGCACTGGCTTCCTGTGGGTCTCCAGACACAATTCAAGGTGTTGGTTATCACCTTTAAAGCCCTTCATGGCTTAGGACCAGGTTACTTACAGGACCGCATACTGCCGCATAGTTCCCAGAGACCGGTGAGGTCCCACAGATTGGGCCTCCTTCAGGTCCCGTCAGCCAGACAATGTCGGCTGGCGGGCCCTTGGGGAAGGGCTTTTTCTGTGGTGGCTCCGACCTGGTGGAATCAACTTCTCCCCGAGATTCGAACTACTCGCACCTTGCTAGTCTTTGAGAAAGCCATTAAAACTCTCCTGTTCCGGCAGGCCTGGGGTTGATGTCCTCGGGGGTGCCGGGATACGATTGGGACATGCTGTATGAATGCACTTGTTTTATTGTTATATTTATTGTTTTATTGAGTCTCTAGGGATTGGGCGGCATATAAATTATATATATATATATATATATATATATATATATATATATATATATATATCCCCAAAACTTTGTTTAATCTCTTATAAAAAGTGGATCATTTAATAATGATGTATGTAGCACAATCTTGAGAAAGACATGACTTGTTTTAAATCAGAAGTGATTATTATTAACTTGTTTAATAACAATATTAAAATATTTTGTTTATTTTGTTCCACTACTGAGTTTGAAGATTTGGTAACCATAATTACGATACAGCAGATTATGTAGTTCCATGAATATATTCTTTAACACTTTCTAGATAAAATATAAATTTCTTGCAGAAAGCTACAAGTTTCTTGTAAAAGAACAAACAAAACCTAAACAAAATTCAATCTTTCAATTATTCAATTTAGTAAGTATCCATATCTTCCTGGAAGACATCTAAAGCCTTTTAGATTCTAGGAAATACTAAAGATGACATAAGTGAAACACTGCATATAAAAAATCCTAATCTCCATATTTTCATGTCTTAAGAGAAAAAAATAATTTAAGTGAGGCAATTTTTAAAAAATCAAAACGAAAAAACTGAAAAGTCATAAATAGAAAAAATATTGAAGAGAAACTTTAAAATAATGAAGGACTTTACACAACAAATGAAAAAAAAATTCAAAGCAAAACCTAAAAGAGAATCTTCAAATTGTAACAAAATTAATTCTCTAGGGATTTCTGGAAAATAATGTGTTGGAAATACTGCTTAAGAACGCATCGCTTCTTAGAAATAGTATTGTACAGCTTTAGTTACTATAAGAAAGACCATCCTGTTTGTTGCAAGTTATGTTTCTGTTTTGGGACAAAGACAGGAAAGAGTATATGTGATTAATGGCCTTTTGGGCAGCATTAACTTTTTTTGGGGGGGGGGCGGTATTGTTCACTAGGAGTATCTTGTTTCTCTGTAATGTTTCTTTGTGCCAGCATGCTTATTGACTATAGTTTGTTTTATTGTGCATACAAAAATAAGAAACATATTATAAGTTAAAAATTGTACGAAAAAATAACAATCTAACTACAAATAGTCTCAAAGGTATTGCTTAACTCATATACAAACTACTGAGTGGGCCCACTCCTTTATAGAAATGCGCTCTTCACTAGCTCCTGAGCTTTGAGTGTGTACTTCTGGTTGTAAACCATACTATCGCTCAACTATATTCCCAGGTAAACTGTGCAGAGGTTGTTAGTGATAGTTCCTTATACTGATTGCTTTCTGTATTTCATCAATCATATTAGGACAGTATGATTTTGCACAGCTTTGGATTTCATACCCTTCTTGTTTGCCATGGAATCCTAATGTGTTTTAGATGGGGTGAATTAATGTGAATGATCATGATAAATGGTTATCTGAACCATTATCTGGACCAACCTGACAAAGAAACAAGGAAATAATTTTGCTTTTGTTTTTGCTAATTAGGATGGAACTTATCTGTACATTTCGGCTGTATAATTATCTTGCAGGAGTGGTGATACTGATGAATCCTGAAGGATAACACTGGCTTTTTCCCATCATTAAAATCATGAGCTCTGTTGGTGCTCTGGTTGATCTGTGCCATTCAGATGATTGACATAGCCGTCTTAAGGATCCTCTGTTGGTTTGAATTTTATTTTCAAATATAAAATGATAAAGTGCCTCAGTGATAATTGAAGAAAACATACTCAAAAACTATTAAACATGCAGTACATAAGTATGGCATGATGGATCAATGGATGAATGCTAGCTAGCTACTAGCTAGCTACATACATACATACATACATATATTCAAAATTTTGTGGCTGATAAAGAGTTAGTGGGAGACTAGTATAGCTATTTTAAGCTATATATCTTATCTGTTGGGTGAGGCACCTGGTCTACCAAATATAAATCAGTCTGTTCTGTGTTTAGCTCCACTCTAGGAGCATGTTTTGCAGGCAGACTCACATACTGTGAACACTATAGATTCAAAATTTTGTGGCTGACAAAATTGACTAGCTGATGAGGACTAATGAGCCTGAAATAGCTATAGTAGTCAGCCACAAAAGTTTGAATATATATATATATATATATATATATATATATATATATATATATATATATATATACAGTAGATATAGATATAGATAGATATAGATATAGATAGATATAGATATATAGATATAGATAGATATAGATAGATATATAGATATAGATAGATATATAGATAGACAGACAGACAGACAGACAGTAGATAGATTCTGTTTATGAAAATTAGAGCTTATGTTAAAACTGAATCCATAGCTATAAGACTCAGAAACATATTTCTACTTTAACTGCACAATCCAAATTGCTTATTTTGACCTACAAGGTCCTATATATTTTGAGGTTAGAATGTCTAAAGGTCCACTTCCTTCCATTTGAATTTACTCTATAATTTAAAGTTATGATTTAAAGCCATGTTTCATGTCCCATTAGCTAAAGAAACTATGTTGGTGGTTACAAGGAAGAGGACCTTTGGGCCAGGTTCTCTTCCCCAAACAGGTGAGAGTTGCCCCCTCCCTATTTTGCTTGATACATGAAATCTTACATGTTTAAAAAGTCCAAAGAACCTGAAGAGAAGAGGCAAGAATTAGAATTTTATGTAACCGTCTGTTCTAGCTAGCAGTCATCTGGATTTTTTTCAGCCCAGCTAAAGTAATCCTACCATGAATTTCACTCACTAAAATTGCATATATAATTTAGTTCATTACAATCTTATAGCTTTAGAGATAAAAATATTCAAAAATTTGATAAAATTACCAATGCACTTTTTTCATTTTCTTTTGGTTATTCATTCTTCATTGATTTCTTATTTGTTTTAAGTAGAATGATAGCCAGCTTAACAGTTTGCTTTTGTTAATATTTATAGAAATAAATATCTCTTTATAGAGGTGACTGACATGGCAACAATTGACAAATAAATAAATAAATAAATAAGGGTTACACAACCATGACCTGGATGACTGAGAATCTCCATAGACGCAAGGGTTACACAGGTTATTTTTGTATGGAAGATAATTATTAATTATTGCATAAGGGTATGCATGGCACATTAGTTAATTCAAATCATTTTCGGACACAGACATTTTAATGAGGAATTACTGATAGGTCTCCCAGTTCTACAATTAGTATTTTTCTTTCAACAAAGCTCTGCATGCAGTCAAACAGAAATGTCTAATTGCCCTGCTTAGAATTCAACAGACATTCACATCCAACATTTATACTAATGAGTGCATTCCCAACATTTATCTATTATGCTGTTTGTTCCAATTAAAGGCTAAAGCTTCTCCAAAGTACTATTAACAAAAAATAAAGATAAAACTGATGAAAAACTGTTTTTAATTGTACCAAGTTAGAATGCGAATAATGCTGGGATAATATACTATATATTCAGTGGTTGGATTCAACCAGTTTGCACCACTTCGGCAGAACCGGTAGCTAATTTTTTGTTGCCCAGGCCCAGAATGGACTTCCAGAACCAGCATCCACACAGAGAACCGGTTGTTCACATATTTGAATCTCACTACTGTGTACATCTCTAGATCATGATTTTTTCCCCTTGATTATTTGGTTTTGCTGTATGAAGAAGAGAGTTGACATGGATGGATGGCAGAGACCATGATTCAGAGATGGGAGAAGAATGATCAGAAAGGAAGCAAATGGGAAGAACACAACTAGAAATATTCAAGGAAGCTAACATGTTTTTGCTCTCCTGATAGTTGTTGCCAATAAATTGATCAGTATAAAGGATTATGGGATTGTCCCTTATAGTTTGTGGTCATCTAAAGATTTCACTATTCAGCATGTAGAAACTACTAGTACTAAGATTGTATACATTATTGTATTACCGTGCATCAGTTATATGATGAACCAGTTACATACTAATGCACACTTGTGTTCTACGAACACACTTTATTGATCCCTAAGGATAGTCAAATCTATTAACGAAATCTGTTTACCCACAGAGCACTCTTGCATTTGTGACATCACAGGGAGCTTCTTCTTTCCCACTAAAATTATATTAAAAAAGTAGAATCAAATAAGGAAAATCAGCTTCTTTGACTGTTCCAGTGACCATGATAAGGATTTTCTTTTTATTTTCTTTTTGTGACAGTAGCAGTGTGCCTGCAAAAACATTTAATTTTTTTTTACTGGGTGGGGTGATTTCCCAAAAAACTAAGGAATTTCTCCAAGAACTTACCATTGTTTTGAGAGAATTTTCATACATACACACATACACAAAACACACCCCACACAAACACAAACGCAATTGACCAAAAAACCAAGTCCAGTCCAAAAATGCTAGATAATACCTGGAAGCTAAATCAGCCATTAACAGGCATATCGAGCTAAATAACATATGCATACAGTATATCAAAATGACATCTTACTTAAACAAGGAATGATGGTTTTCTATTGGGAATAAGGGTCTAAAACTCCATATTGCCACCTCTTGTCTTTGTGCTAATGGTCACATTTTTGACTATCAGTCATATTTTAGACTCATTTCAAATACATTAAAATGCTACACGGTTTCCTCATCACTTTTATCATCATTGATTGCAGGGAATGGGGATGCTCAGAATGTGACTTTCAGATAAACCATCAGAAATAGTATAACTTTATAGAAAGCGATAGGTGCCTTGCTGGGACTAGAGACAGTTTTTCAAAGAAAAGTTAGACAGAAATCTGTTCTAGAAGAGCCAGCCATCCCTATCCTAAAACTCAGGAAGCAGCTGCTTCTGTTGAAAATTGCCAGGACAAGGCAACATTCATCCTCATTGACCCAGATTAGATGTTGTCTCCTCAGATTACCCTCATCATCTCAGGCATGGTGGAGGAAATGGGCTCCACCAACACCAGTTTTGGAACAGGATGGATTAAGGGAAGTTGCCCTCTTATCTTGTCTCTCACTGTCCAAAGCAGTGTCGCTATCTCTCACATCCATTTTAGTTCTGTATTTTATTTCTTTATTTAATTTGTATCCCACCTTTATTATTTTTGCAAACAACTCAGGGTGGCAAACATCCCAACACATCTTCCCTGTCCTATTTTCCTCACAACAACAGCCCTGTGAGGTGGGATGGATTGAGAGAGTGCGACTGGCCCCAAATTACCCTTCTGGCTTTCCTGGATAGGCACAGTCTCTTGCTTTCTAGCCTGGTGCCTTAACCTCTAGACTAAACTGGCTATGATCAGATTGTATTGTATTATATGATACACATGATTGCATGATCTCTTGCTATTCTTTACATGTCATCTGTAATGGAATCCTTCTCTGGGTGATTTGAGATGAATTTGCAGGGTAGCTTCTTCAATAACAAGAAGCTTTTCTTCTCTTTGTCAGGCTGATGACACAAGGACAAAAGATGTTCACCTCAGTCTGATATTACAAACACATTTTTGGTCTGACCGAATTCTTGACTCTTATTCTGACTGGCTAATTAAAGCAGCCAAATTGGAACTGGCCTCAGAATCAAGATAAATTTCTCCTTAAACTAGGACAAAGGTTCTGTACTTATATGAAAAGAAAACCCTGTCTTGACCCACAAAAAAGTCAGTCTCGTATAACCCATTCACGTCCTTTTACAAAGGAGCAACACCTAGCTTGCAGCATGTCCTGATTTGAAAATGTTACCCTTGAAAATGTCTAATTGCAGTTAGCACAAAATGTAGCAGTTAGGCTGCTGACTGATGCCCAATACATGGGTCATAGGATTCCTGTACTGAAATATTCACACTGGCTGCTTGTTTACTATTGGACACAATTAAAGGTGTTTGCATACACTCATGAAGCCATAAACAGCTTGGAGCCACAGTTTTGGTGGGGCAGCTTTTCTTACAATGAGCCTAATTCTTTGGTTTCATAGGAGAGGCCCTTCTGAAGTAACTCCCACTGTTCACTCTGGAGCATACAGAAAAGCTTTTAATCCTTGGCTTTTTAATATTTAGCTTTTATCCAAACTTTAAATTGGGTTATTGATGTTTTGTTTACAGTTCGTATTTCTTATTGTTATAGGCCACTCTGATTATCAGATGGATAAAAATTGATTGTTGTTGTTGTTTATTCCTAACAATCATCAAGATCAGAGGTGAGCAATACGTTTTCCCACAGGGTTACATGGGAAACTGGGACTTTTGTGGAGGACTGAACTAATAGGGCTGCCCCCATTGCTGTCCACACTGCAGCCACTGCTGCAGGCCATATAAAAATAGCTAAAGGGCTGGATGTGGCCTGTGGGTAGTTGAATATCCAGGTATGACCTAGATAGATTTTCTCCATGATGATCTGTCCCTAACCTGGTCCTTCAGAAATTCCAATGGTGGACTCACGGCTACTGTAACTTGCAGTATAGCTTGGTTAAAACTTTGACAGGATCTTTCTATTGCTTGGAATATTTCAGTGAGTATTCCATCCGTTTCTGTAAACCTTCCAACTTGATAATAATCAGGGAGTGGATCTAACTTCATTTCCTAGCACTAGACGTTCCTGCAAGTTGGGAAAAAATCTAAGGTATTTTAGATATTGACATCTCTATTGTACAGAATTTCAAAATACTCCTTCCTTTGCTTGATTTCTTTGTTACTGTCAGTCCATTGGAGTCTTTTAGCATACCAGCTTAAGGTTGGATAGATATTGGAGGGCAAATATCTAAAGACCTAATAATTGGGTAATCTCCCCATATTTCTGAATGCTTATTTTTTTTTAATCTACATTTTCTAAAAAGAAAAAGACTTAACTAGTTATATTTCTGGGCAGCAAATACTATTATATGATTTAGGAACAAAATAAAATTGGCTGAAATAACAATAGCACTTAGACTTATATTACCGCTTCACACTGCTTTACAGCCCTCTCTAAGCAGCCTGTTGCCCCCCAACAATCTAGGTCCTCATTTTACCGACCTCAGAAGGATGGAAGGCTGAGTCAATCTTGAGCTGGTCAGGATCGAACTCCTGACAGTGAGCAGTGAGTTAGCCTGCAATACTACATTCTAACCAGTAATGGGATTCAGCCAGTTCGCACCACTTTGGCAGAACCGGTAGCTAATTTTTTGTTGCCCAGGCCCAGAATGGACTTCTGGAAGCAACATCCACACAGAGAACCAATTGTTCACATATTTGAATCCCACCACTGATTCTAACAACTGCGCCATGAAATCTTGCTCATGAAAAAATAGATATTGAGTTATTTTTAATTTTGAAAAAAAAATGGAGAAGTGGAATCCTGTGTGCACTGGAAAAGCAACGCAGCGTTGTTTCAGTTTTGAAAATATTCCTTGCTTTAAAATGACAGTTTTGTAAAACAGCTTTCTTTAGCAGAATTTATTGAGATTGTTGTCATCAATAATAATAAACAATAAATACAAGAATTAGTAATCCTTTTGGGGATGATTCCTTACAGTGGATTATGGCACACTGTAATGTTCAAAATTAATAATCAAAAAGTCGCTAATAACAAATACAATAATTAACCCTAAACAATGTCTAAAAGATTATAAAAACAATAGATAAAATCTCAGAAATGTAACAGTTTAAATTCAGGCTGTTTTTTTTTTTTTTAAAGTCTTATTATCTTCCTTAAGGATAACAGAAAAAGAGGCTGTGGACAAGACCAGCCATTCTGTGAAAAGATGAGCCTTTCCTTTTTCTCTGTTAACATTGGCCTGCACTGAAAAGTCTCTCTTGTGGGTTGGTTGTTCCCATTTAGAAAAAGAAAATTATTTCATTTTTTTTTCAATTTGTATAGTTGCTCATCTCACCTATGTGATTCTGGGTGGCTCACATAATTTAAAACAATTAAAAATATAGCCAATAAACAAAAATCCAAAAAGTAGGTTAAGATGACCAAAAGCATATACGTGGTCAATATGAACCCACAAGATCTTCAGGGCCAAAACTCCTAGCACTCAAATCTCAGCTGCAAATAATTACTTTTCTCAACTTTGGTTCTGCTCTTCCTGTCTTTCAGGAGTGGCATTATAATAAAATACTGGTGAATATCTGGCATACTTGATAAATAACATCTTAACTAGAGCAGTGCTGATGAGGCAAGAGATGTTAACCTATACTTAATTTCCATGGATTGTGTAGAACAGCCCCCACACAATTCTCCTTTAATCTTGCAGCTGTTGGACAAAGGGAACAGTGACTTGTTAGTGCTGTCCAGATTCGAGAATGTTTTTTGTTGAGCCAGACAAGCACATCTGTGTCAGTCCATTGGCACCCAGACATCTGTTACACAGAGTGAACAAGTGCTTAAATTAATGCATTGCTTGGCTGACATAAAGTTGCAGTGCGCTGCCCAAATTTTGTTTGCTGTTATCACCTCTCATTCTTTTTGATCAGAATGTTGCCATATGTTTTCCCAGGCACAGCTGACAAAGTAAATCTCCTTATAGTTCTTTTTTTTTCTTTCAATCTTTCTTCCAGTTTTATCCCTTGTATAAGGGAACAATGATAGCATTCCAGCCAAAGATGCAAGCCTTATCACATAAATTAATCAAGCTGAATGATGTGAGTAACCCATATTTATATTTTTAAATCTTTTTAATTTACACCATCTACATTTGCGTTCCTCTGTTTTTCAACATTGTCATAGCATTTGTAACATCTTTTTCATCCTTCTGCTTTTTGAGTACCAACGTTTATGGTGTTCATTTAATTTTACCCTTCATTATATTTTTCCCTTACAAATCTCTGAAATACTTTCGACATTCTCTCACTTTAGTTTCATCCCAAATCACACCATTAAATTTTGTTTTGGATTCTGTCCACCCTGCTAGAATCTCTTTGTTTCTTTTCACCTCCTTCCAAAATACTTTTCTATTTCCATCAAAATCACTCTTTTAATCTTGACTGTTCTCCTTGATTACTTTGCTTTCTAAACATTTTCTGCAAAATCTCTCATCACATTTGTTTGGAGTCCTTATATGAATTATTTTGTGCATCCATAGCCTCCTTCCCTTCATCGGTCCACCAAGCATCTTTTCCCATACCATTCTGTGTCACTTGATAAACATACAAATAATACTTTACAAACAATTTCTACACCGTCTTTCCTTACGTTCACTTTCTATTCATTCTATTTAAACATTAACTTCTCTTCTAATATTTTTACACACAGAGTTTGTAGATTTATTGCAGTCATTCTCCATTCTTTATAGTTCTTTCACTTTCTTTTTTTTTTTTTCATGTTCATTGACTTGCCAGGTCAATAAGGCCTTCCTCACTGCCGATTTGATTACTGCAGAGAAAGCTGACTTAGCATGTATCATAGAGGCCTGGCTGGGGCCAGAGGGAAAGGCTATGTATCAGGTGTGGCACCAGCCTAGACTGCAGGGGAAGGGAGATGGTGTGGTTATTGTTATCCAAGAGTCTATGATTGCGCAGCTCCACAATTGCTCTTTGTGAGATCCTTTTTCTTAGACTGGGTTCCAGGGACCCTTTGGGATTACTGATATTGTACCAGTCTCCCTGCTACTGCTGTCAATGCTGCTAACATTGGATGTTCTTGCTTTGACAGAGTTTCATCTTTCGGAACCATGACAACTGCCTTAGCTCCTGGATTGCAAGGTTTGCAGTGGAATTTTCTAGGATTATGATTCTGGGGGACTTCAACCTGCCTTCCCTGAAGGTGGGGTTGGAGGTAGCTTGGGAGATCACAGAAACCATGTCCATGGCCTGTGCCAGGTCATCCAAGGCCTGACTAGGAATAGTGGTCAAACACCTGATTTGCTGTATTGGATTGTACTTATGTAGCGTTTGGGAAATATATGAAAATTATTATGTACTGGAATTGAAAAAATGATGACTGTTTAGATTGGGATGTTTTTAATAATTTATGGAATGTTTTAAATTACTAGGATGGATTTCTTGTATGACAACAGACATGATAAGGCATGATAAGTAATTGGAGAAAATTTGAATTTTGTTTAATGAATTTGAATGAATTAAGGTTTAATATTATTTCGTTATTTTAAAGACATGGATTGACTTTGGAATTACATATATATAGGGCTGATCAATATTTTATTGCTATTAGGATATCTATTGTGTAGTGGAAGAAGAAATAAATGAGATTGGTGATAAAATGAGGGATGCGAGAGATTAAGAATTAAAATGGATAATTTTTTGTTTTAAATTTAAACTATTGTAATTGTAAACTGATAAAGTTATAATACAGGTTTAATAGTGATGGAAATTTAAAATAGAAATGGAATATTTAAATGTATCATGTTAATTGAGGGGAATAGAGAGGGGATAGTGAAATTTATTGAGTTGTGTTGTTTATGTATATTTTTACCTTTGAATGTTTGACCACCCAACCACCACGGTGGGCCCTGAGTACTTTTTCTTAAGAATTTAAAAAAACCAATAAAATGTGTTAAAAACAAAACAAAACACCTGATTTGCTGTTCTTGCTGGAGTGGTGCCTTTGTGATCTGAAATCGGTGGGCCTATTTTTGGTATAGTCTGGGAGTATCTTAACTCCCTTCCTCTGTCTCCTGTTCAGCTCTGCCTCTTGTCTCACCACTCTTCTTGGCATGTCCTCCCTCCCTCCTGGGAAGCTGCCACTTCATTCTGGTCCACCACACTCTCTCCTCTATTAACCAAGGAAAATTTAGTACATATTTTATTGGATCAAACTCAGATCCTTTCCACTAAAAAATTAGCATGAGCTTCCTTCCCATTATTAGTCAGACAAATGGAGATGAAAGTGTCACTCTCTCCACAAAAACACGCACTGGAGGAGAGTTTATAACCATCCTACTGCAAGCACATAGAAGAGAAAATGGTTTTATGCAATGGTCTTTTTAACTGGAGGTGTATTTTGTTTTGCAAGAGTAGCAACTGACACAAAAACCTACACAGTAGATGTCGGTATGTTTCTTTTAACTATTTACAGAAGAGTGATTTATAAAACTACAGTTCTAGTGTTCACCTGAAGTCAGGTTTCCTCCTAATTTTCCTTATTTATTACCCCTTCCAGCTCTCCTTTGTCCTCCCTTTTCATTCTGACTTCCTTTCTATTTCTGGCTTATCTAGAGAGAGTGAAAAGAACAGAATTGCCTGGATTTACTGTAGCGTGCTCAGCCCAACTTGACTTTCTACTGGATCTGCCTCAGAGTCTTTTGCCCAATCTTTGCCCAGAGATCAGGGCTTTGCCAATGACCAACCATTCCCTGCTTCCCACTTTGGATCTTTGTGAAGATGCTCTCTGTAGCTAGAAAGTCCCTCCTTCCTGTTTTAGGTCTTGGGAAAAAAATTGTTTCTCTAGATCAGTGGTGGCGAACCTATGGCATGGGTGCCAGAGGCGGCACTCGGAGCCCTCTCTCTGGGCACACGTGCCGTTGCCCCAGCCTTGCCTCCCCCCACGACCCCCTCCTCTCCAGCAGCCCCCCTGAAGAGAGTCGCCCCTGAGCGTGGACCACATGGACCAGTGCAGCCAAGGACATGGCAGCCAGGCAATGTAGACAAGACTCTGCCCTCACACCCCATCATGCAGTTGATGCTGCAGGGTGCGGGCAGAGGGTGTGGTCGCCATAGTGCTGCTGGGTTGCCTGGGCGATCTGCGGCAGGCCCTGGAGCAGTGAGTGGTCCTGTGGGCAGGCGGGGTGGTGGATGGGGGGCAGACCGGGGGCAGGGCAGGGGTGGAGTGGGGGCAGGGCCAGTTTTTGGGCACTCGGTCTCTAAAAGGTTCGCCATCACTGTTCTAGATCTTCACTTTTTTTCTTCCAGGGAAGCCACTGATGGATCTTTCTTTTCCCTTCTTGACCAGGAACCAGCAACTGCTCTGCAGGCTCATGTAACTTCACATGCCAACTTTTCTCTCTAACCACTTTGTTTCACAAGTCTTTTTCTCTTCTTTCCTCTCCTTCTCTCTTCTCTTTCTCTGTTTCTAGTTTTGGTCAGATTGACATCATCTTCACTATCAGTTGAGGAGGGGAGTGTCCCCCCTCCCCCCCAAGTTATAATTCCCAGGATTTATACACCAGTCTGGCAATGGGACTGCTCTCTCTGGATCTCACCTTGTAGTGAGATGGCAGGAAACAAATTTAATAAATCAGAAAATAATAAAATCTTCCCACAACAGCTCCAGCTAGCAGCCAAGTCAGCACATCAGCCCTGTTAACTGCACAGCTTCTCTTCAAGTCCAGAATTTGTGAATCTTCTCACTCTATGTGCCACAGGAACAGCAGCCACAGCTGGTCACTAAAATCCATGTGTCACAGTAAAATGTGCGGATGGCTAGTTGTATTTCAGTCCTAATCTTGCTCTTAACTTAAATAACTTATAAGTCCAAGTTAAAACAGCCTTCTGTTCCACGTTTATGGCCATGTAAACAGTAATGTACAAACTACATTCCCCAATGTCATCTAAACTCTGATAATTAAAATATACTAATAAAACAATCATATAGATTAATTGAAATCCTATTGCTTTAGGTGCACACCTAGTCTGGTTTTCTCATAAGCATAGATAGTTACAAGGGAAAAACACACATAATAGTAACATTCCAGTTCTGCAGTGTATGAAAAAAAATCTATCTTTGGAAAATAGTATCAAAGCATGTAATTTCTGTAATTTATACTAGTTTTGTGGATAGTATCATTACATAATTTAGCCCCTAGGAGGCACTTAACAAAATAAAGGGCTTTCTGTGGCTTTTTCTTTTTTCTTTTTGTTTAAAGAGCAACAAAAATAAAGTTAAGTTTCATGTCCTGACTGATTTGTCTCCAGTGCCTTCTCAGATACTACTTAAGGTGTATCAGCTTTCTAGTCTGGCTAAAAATGATTAGTACTACTACTCCCCGAATTTTCAGTCTCCATGGCAGCTGGGCAATCTGGAAGGAGTCTTTCCAAAACATCTGGAGAGCAGCTTGGAGAAGACTGATACACACCACCATGAATGTTCTGATTTTTTTTTAAGGCTTGTTTTTCTTAAGATAATTTACTTTATACCAGTTATTTTGGTGAGACCTTGGCCCAAAATACCAGCAGCAATCAAAGTTCTTGTGATCCATGCCACAGAGAGCTTTAAATCTTACAGAGTCAATGGTATAGTCTTCTCCTGCGGAAGGGGGAAAAAAGTCAAATTAAGCTTTTTCTGGGTGTGGGCAGTGTCATAAGAGTCTGTTCAGGCTATACTTTTGTGACTAGCTTGGAATTTAAATCTTTTATATAAACATCTACTTAACTTCTAACCTTTCAATGTCATAATTACATGTCATTACATATTCATTTTGCTTTGTTTTGCTTTGCTTTTATAACAGCACTGTACTGGCATATGAATATTAAACCCAAGGGAACTTTTTTTTTTTTTTAAAAGCATTTTTCCTAACAAGTTTATCCAGCTTATTTTTCGGAAAAGCATCACATTTCTGAAGAACAGCTATTGCACTTCCTATGTAATCACTGTTTAGAGTATTGTTCTACAAAGGCTGCCAGTTTGAACTACAATAATAACAAGTCATTTGCTGCTCTAATTGCTGACAAAGGTGACAAAAATGCATCTTTGGCCTTTTCTCAAATTTTGATGTACATTCTTTGCTAGCATGGTGCATCCTAGGATGATCACAGGCTAGATGAAGCAAGTTGTAGAAAAGAGAAAAATAACAAAAGCAGGTCCAGATAGTTAATGACTAATCTGGTGTTCTTTTCTTCACTTGCAATTTAAAAAAATGACTCAATAATTAATATTTTGTGGCTTTGACATGGTATTCTCCAAATCCATAAAATGAAATAAGATGCAGTTTTCTTGCTCATAAGCCTCTTTCTCTTCCTGAGTGAAGCCCAAACAACAACAAAAAATATTTCAGTTTCCAGCGTGACAAAGCAGAACAATAAAATAAGATGGGCTGTACCCAAATTGTCAGGAAGTACAATAAAAGAACTTATTCAGGTTAGGCTTCTGCTGTGAATTATGAGCAATTTTAAGGGGAAACTTTGATGCTAGCTGAAGAAGGTAGTCCTTAAAGTAGATTGACATCTGATTTATCTTAATCTAATTTTAAAGAAGCTCTGGTCACTTTCTTCTGTTTCTTTTATGAATAGTCTCTACAGCTATGATTATTCACATTTCAGCTTATGAACTGCTGATAGTCATAACCCATGAAGAGTAGCGCTGGCCTGAAAGACATTTTTGCCTGAAAGGAGGGTGGGGTGGATGTGGGTAGGAACGTGTTAAAAAATATTGTTGTGCCAGAGATCCTTTGCTTTTATCGGTCCCTTCCAGGATGACATTAAAAGGAAGTAGGCATTCATGGGTATGTTTTCCCATACTAAATCTATTTATTTATTTATATGATTTATATAGCCACCCATCTCCCACAAGTTACTCTGGTTGACTTATAAAGATGCAGAGAGAAAAAAGCACCACATATAACCCTGGTCAAGATAAACAATAACCCACATCTAGAAAAACATTACCAGAGGCCATCTTCCATCTGACCCCAGTGCTTAGGGAACAGCCAGCTCTTCAATGCCCAATGAAAGGCTAATGGGTTGGGGCCATCTGAATCTCCGGGGGGAGCCGGGGATGCTTCTGGCTTCTTCACTCTTCTTTTTTATGGTGATTTTATTAAAGGTGATAACTGCAACAATAAAAACTAATACAATAAAAAATAGAAGAATGCAGAGAAAGAATAGGAGATGCAGAAAATAAGTAAGAAAAGGAAAAAAATAGCAAAAGAAAGAAAAAATAAAGAAAAATAGAAATGTAGTAAAAGAAATATATAAAGGCGGGATTTCCACCTTCATCACAAGAAGTATAAACAATTTTAGTAATTTATCTCCCTTCTAAAGGAATGTGATTTGTTTCTTTCATCTGCTGAAAGAAACAAATGCAATATACAAAGGGAAGGTTATCTTGGTTCTCCTTCTGGAAGAAGCATATTTCTGAGTTGACCATATCCTTAAAAATATTTGAGTATTTCTCTCAACTTTCACTGCGCACGCATACACACACATCTTACCCTCACGAGAGAGAGAGAGAGAGAGAGAGAGAGAGAGAGAGAGAGAGAGAGAGAGATCATATTTTTGCACCTGTTGTGGGCAAAACCTCATCTAAAACAACCAAATCACTCTGAACATACAACATAATTTTATTTGCA